CCCGGGCCCCCCCCCCCCCCAGTGCTGCACGGCAGAAATGCTAACCACTGCTGCCCTCAGCAGAGTAGGGTCCTTCTACATTGAGGGTCAGTGGAATGGACTCCCTGTTACACTGGTGTTCATTGGAAAGAAGGGCCCTTATACTGGTAGTCAATGTACTTACAATTGATGGCATTTTAGAAGAATACCACTTACATTGGTGTTTAGTGGGAAGAATGTCCCAGAACTTTTAGGGGAACTTCTTGGAGAAATTTTACCTTTACAGACAGCGAAAAAAAAAAATTAGGATCAGTGAATACCTACCTCAGAGATGAGAAGATCGGCTCAACTGGTCCCATGTCTCCCTCTCTGGTGGCTGAAGCTGATACCACAGAATTTTGAATCACCATCAAGTGAGAGATTAATCCACTACTGCTCAAGAAACCTCTAGCAACCTCTGAAGGAATCCTAGAGTTCCAAGAAGGCCTAACTGAGCAAGAAAATTCTATAGAGGATAATATTAAAGTGCACCTGTGTCCAGACTATGGACATTAAACTATTTACGTATTCTTAACAAGCAATAAAATAGCTTTAAAACGTTCTAGCTGTTTTCATGTGAAGTTAATTATTCTTAAAGATTCTCATTGATGACATCATACACACTAGAGTTGGGTTTTTTAAAGAAACACTTGCTGGTTGTTTACATTGAGGAGCTCAGAGGCTGCCAGGGTCTGCTCTAAACAAAATCCAAGATTTCAATGCCTGTGTGGTGACCTTTTTACATTAAATAGAAATTCTCCTCAATGCTTATAGATACTGGTATGAATGGGGCTTGTTTTAAAGTGTTTTCAATGGGTATTCAGAATATGTAAGAACTTTAGTTTGCATGATCTGGGCATGGGTTCACTTTAACTAGGGATGTCCCGATACCGATGCTAGCATCGGAATCGGGCCCGATACAGAGCATTTTGACAAGTACTTGTACTTGTCAAAATGCCCCGATGCATAGCGCCAATGCTTGTGCTGTTTTGTTGTTGTTGTTGTTGTTATACTTTACCTTCTGTGGTGGAGTCCTCTGGGCCGGCTGTTCGGAGGAGCGTTGCGTCACTGCTGTGGGCTGAGCTCCAGATGGGGTCCTAATGTAGGTGGCCGGAGACTGCCTGGAGCTCCGCCCACAACAGTGACGTGACGCTCCTCCGCTCAGCGCCGCCGACGTCCAGCGCCGCAGACGCTGACATCAGTGGCGGATCCAGGGGGGAGATAGAGCCGCTCCCTGCCTCTCCCACCCGCGGTACTGGTGACACAGTACATCCCCGCACAGCCACTGCGGGGACATACAGCTGTCACAGACTTTATTGCGGTTCAGTGTAAAAAAACGGCACAGTACAAGTGCTGTGCTGTTTTTTTACACTGAACTGCAGTAAACTCTGACAGTGACAGCTGTATGTTCCCGCAGCGGCTGTGTGGGAATGGGACAGGTGGCTCTGTAAATGCCTGTCACCTGTAAAGAGTGTTTAGCCTGGTGGTGCCTGTACAAACTCTGCAGGCACCACCAGGCCACCACATCCTGCTGTTGGGGTCATTGAATTTTTTTTTTAATTTACAGCGTCGCTTCACTGCTGCTCCAGTGGGCGGCGCTCCAGGCAGTAGTGATGCGACGCTCCTCTCCAGTTCAGCGCCGCCAACGTCCTCACGTGTGAGAAAAACCGTGAGGCACTGCGATCAAGGCAACAGTAAGACAGGGCCTGGGCTTAGTTTTTTTGTGTGATCTACTGCTGCAAAAAAAGTATCGGTAATTGGTATCTGCAAGTACATGCGGAGAAGTACTTGTACTTGGTCCTGAAAAAGTGGTATCGGGACATCCCTAACTTTAACTATTGCTCCAGGTTAGTTTGCACTTCCATTCAAGTGCAAATCTGTTTTTACAGGTAGCATACAGAACTTGAAAAGTGATTGCACTCTGGTATATTCAGGATATCTTCATTAGAAAAACATGCAAGAGCACAGCAGTCTTATGAGCCTTATGAGTTTCATGCTGCACCTAGCACCTTTTCAAAGAGTAACTGCCAATAGACTCATCTGTGTTTTAAATGGCTGAAGTTAATCAAATGCTCAAATACACACGTATCAACTACTCACTTCTACTTATTAACCCTGTAAGACACAAATCAAACTTTTTACTATATTATTTAAAACCACTATTCATTTCAACTAAAATAATTAAATAATATATATGCACGCAAAATAAATATAATCTGAGGGCAGTAGAGTACGATCTAGATCCATCAGGCGGACATAGTCCAGCCAAGGAGACCATGTTTTCTGAAAAGAGGAATAAGAATGATTTGCTCACTCGGAGTGCTGTGGTCCCTCTCGATTCCCTTGCAGCCTGTCTTTCCCTTTCTTTGTCTTTCTCACTTTTTTCTTTCCTTTCCTAACTCTTTCTCAGGTTCTTGTGTTTTTTTCTGAAGCTTGAAGCTCATGCCATGGATTATTTGCACAGTGTGTAGTCTGGAGCCCTTTCCTCTTTTTCATGTATGGGCTCGCTAGTGTCCTGCGACAGTTGCAGGACATTGGTGACTCTACTTCAGGTCTTGAGATATTCTGATCGTATACTGTTTTTTTGCTTATGTCAGTTTTTTCTACTTGACATCCTGTTGACAACATACCCAGTGTCTTCCTCTTGCTATAGACCCATTTTGGCATTTTACCATGTCAACCTATATGTTCTTTCTTTGGATGTTATCTACCATTATATCTCTTTCAATAAAAATCTTTGTACAACAAAATAAATATAATCTTATAATATTCAACATAATATAATGCAGGGCTCAAAATTTCAAGTCCTAAGCTACTAGCCAGGCCTTAAAAGTTACTCGCCATCAGTTACCCCACCTAACCCCTACCCTGCCCCGGCCTTAACTCTGCCAGGTCAGCGGTGTGACGCAGAGTCCAAAGATCAGTAACAACGTACAGTACAGAAGTCAGTAGTGCAATGCAGAATACAGAGGCCAGCTGTGTGACGCACAGTACACCGGTCAGCAATGTGACGCGCAGTGCAGAGGTCAGCAATGTGACGCATATTATAATGAATGCATTGGCAGTTCAGTGTAGGTAGTTTGGCTGCAGAAGGCCATAGGAGATAAAGATCCACAGTAATTGGAAAGAAGTGCACAACTCATGTCCCTTACAGTCATGAAAATAGGGATATTTACCACACCTTTCTATAGTGATAATCTTGTCCTTTATTTATACAAAGCAACAGGAATCCAATGGTGACATTTCAGGACCCTTAAAGTATCCCTTTTATAAACAGAGAAGACTGCAAAGAGAAGGCACCTGCAAGTCCTGAAATGTCAGCTTGTGATACTTGTTGCTTTAAGTGACTGACGGACAAGATTATCACTATACCAAGGTTATGGAGGTGGATTATTAGAACATTTATACAGTTTCCAGAATTTGTGTGAGGAGATTAGCAGGGCTGAAGTACGTGGGAGAGCCTTCACTGTTGCACCACATAGAAAATACTGTTCTTTCTCTGTATAGATAAATATTTTGTAACTTTAAGTGAATACCCCTTCTAACATGAAGGATAATACATTTCGCTTTCAATTAACCAAGAAGCATCTCTTTACTGCATATTAAAAAATATATATATATATCAGTTTGATTTATATAGGCTTAGTTTCTATATACCCCACTAGGCCTCTGCCAGTACCACAGTCCAAACAGGTACACAAAATCGGGGCACATTTTCCTGCAGTCTTCCAATGTGGTGTATCTGATGGTGTGCATGTGCAATCTGGCTGCAAGGTTTTAGGTCAGTGAAACTGGTTAAACATTTCCTCGGCAGATAAACTTGCATCAATTTACTAAGAACAGAAGGGAGAACCTTGTGGTGGCAAAAACCCTTAAAATGACCACAGCAGGTGTATATATCCAGGAACTCAGAGCATAGAGATTCCACAAACAAATCCATTGAGAGATATAGGAAAGTAATGTTTTAAACTTCCAGTATCTACCAAAAACTAAAGTATCAGTTTTCCATGGACTAACTTTTTAATGAAATGAAATAAAAAATAAAAACTAGCAAGCTTATTTTACAGTAGAAAAACAGCTTCTGAAAATTTAAAGTAAATATGTTGCTTGACTATGGTCGTCTGAGGGACAAGAGAACCTAAAACACACTTCCAGGTGCCTGCAAATAGTCTCTAATGCATGTCAGAACCTGTGCTGGTACATATGCAACAGCAGCCTCAATCTTGGAAGTTCAGGCTCTGCCATGCCCCCATGCCACTTTAACAAAGAAACATGCATTGCAGCTGGTTATTATTTGTATATTTGTAATACAGAATGGTACTCTGGAGACTATAGTAAAGTATGTTCAGATGTGTCTAGGTGTCTATTCTGTGGTCTGTTACTTGAATGCCTTTTTCTTTTTAAAAGATAAGGACATGTTTAAACAAAAAAAATGATATGTGGAATTCACCTACCCACCTAATCTTGCTGGGCATAAATTCTAGAGGCCTTAGATGTAAACTACAATTCATGGTATACACTGGCCAGCTTGAATTGGTTCACTAAGGGGCAACACAGTCAGATCCTGCTTCAGACACTGTAATAGCCAATGCCCTATACCTTTAATTACATCACCTATAAGTGACAATTCAAGTCAATGTATCCATTATCCATACAAGTCATTTATCCATTGCTAATAGGAGTTTGAAGAAACTTACTTTCATCAGAGAGTTTACAATATCACCTCCTCCAACCTCTAAAACATTCCCCAGTAATGGAAGAGGTGTTGGTCCAGGTGGAAGGTGCCTCTGTGTCCAAAATGTCTTTACACCAAAATATAAGAAAAGAATTGAGAGCACAATAATCAAAAATACAGTTATATCAACTGGTAAATCCATGTTGTGCTATGAACAATTGGAGAGTCCTTTGGGTATCTGAATATATATATATATATCCATAAACTGTAAATGTAGGAAACCTTCCTCTATGCAGACAGCTTTATCCAATGAATCATCTTGCAGGCGGAGGAAACACTTTGGACATCTTCCCAATGTTGTGGAATGGCATGATGCCACAAAAACCTGTTTGGTGGTATAACATTAACTTTCCATGCATATAAAATAGGAGTGCATGCACATTGTTTGAATAAAGAGATGCTGTATCCCCTTGACTTATCCAACATCTTGCAAAGAGATTGAGCTAGTTCTTGGATTCTACTATTTGAAAGATACATTAAGCATATATAATTAAATATGCATACTGCCATTATTACACAGAGGGTAAGTTTTCAACAAATAGTGAAGTGCAAAGAAAAAGCTGCACATATGGGTCCAAACAATTACCTTCATGCAGTTTTTGATCCATGCTGACCCTACTTATACATATGGGTCTATTCACCAGGCTGCCGAGGGCAGCCGAGTGAACAACCGACCCCAAGTGAAGTGAGCCGAACACTGTTCGGCTATTCACTTCAGGCTTGTACGGCTGATTTTAGCCGTATATCGGCTGAAATCAGCTGTACATCGGATTGCTTCACATGGCTTCCGGTCGGCCGAACATGCTCAGCATGTTCGGCTGATCCGAAGTGCAGAAGGAGTTCGACTCAGCCGATCCAACCTCCGGCAGGCTACTCACTGCTGTTCGGCCTATTCTTATAGATGCCGAACAGCAGTGAGTGAATAGCCGAATGCCGCTGAGTAGCATTCGGCTCAGCTGTTCTGCTCGTTCCCTCAAAGGTACCGAGCACAACAGAAAAATAGTTTTAAAAGTTTTAGAAAAGTAAATAGAAAACGATTATGCGGAGTTAGCAGTGACAGCAGTGGCGGAACTACCAGGGTCGCAGAGGTCGCGGCCGCGACCGGGCCCTGGAGTTCGGCCACTTGGAGGGGGCCCAGGACAGGAGGAAGGGGTGTACCACTGGTGACCGCTGATTACCAGTCCCGGGACCTCTTCCTCCCGTCCTGGGCCCTACATGCGTCACGCTGCTCCCCTCATCTTGTTCCGGGCGCAGCGTGAAGCATCATCCAGCCGGGAAGCAGCCAATGAGAGGGAGCGGTGTAATCCCCGCCCCCTCATCACACAGAACTGCCGCCGAATGCCGAGTGCTGCGTACACGAAGGGGGAGACCGAGACAGGGAGCTGGAAGTATCAACGAAGGTGACATGGGGTCGCTGGGGACATGAAGGGGGAGATGAAAGAGGACAGTGTTTTTTTTTTTCTTTCCTTGTCTAATTTTGTTTAAAAAAAAA